GTCACATCACTATAAATAACTTCTAATTGAATTCTCAATTCTTTCACCAATTTATTACTAATATATGAATATGCAAGTCCAAATCAATCATTATTATAACGTATTTATTACATAGTAGAAAGGTACCTGCTGTTATCTCTGGATCATCAAGATCTTCATTGGTATTAATATTATACATTCGAGCAGTGGAACGTATTTCTTGTTAAGTAGAGGATTCAGGTTGGCTTCTCCCTTGTCCTCTACTTCTTTCTCTCTGAGACATCGAAACAGATCGCTCCGACTGTACTGGTTATATTTTCTCCAATGGACAATCTCTTAAAAAATTTCTCGTTTCACCACATCGAAAACAAGCTTCAGATTTTACTCTACATATTCCACCATGATATTTTCCACAAGTATGACAGTGTCTTTTTTGTGCTCTGCCCTCACCAGACCTTATTGATTGAGTCTGTCTAGCTCTCATCTGATTTGATTCTCTAACAGATGATACTACCGATCCAGACCTTGCCTGAGACAGAAAACCAGAATCTCTACCTCTCTTGGGTGGTGCAGAACTCGATGAAGCCCCAGTTCTTTTAGATGGTTGGGTTCTTAAATCCCCAAACCTTTCATTCTGAGCTCTCTCTAGAGCTTTAGCACGATTTACTATTTCTTGAAATGAGGGCAAGTTTAACACTATCAATATTTCTTTCAACCTCGGGCGTAAGCCCTCTACAAACCATTCACACACATCCTTCTCTGTTGGAATCAACTCAGCCGCAAAACGACTTAACTTATTAAACTCGCACTCGTACTCATACACTGTACGATTCAATTGTTTCAGATTCAAGAATTTTTGCTTCATTTGCCTGATAAACTGATCTCCTATATACTTATGCATAAATTCTTCAAGAAAAAGAGACCATGTTACTTGATCACTGGTCATCCTCATAGTAACATTAGTCCACCAAATTATCGCTTGCCCGCGAAGTAAGGAGACGACTCCGTCTAATTTCTCCACATCATAACAGTGGAGTCCTTATAACATGATTTTTACATCGTTAAGCCAAAGGTCCGCAACAACAGGACCTTCCTCGGCTTCACCTTTGAAATCTGAAGCTCCTTATCCCTTCAACTCCTTCGCAACATTCATTCTCGGAGTTGAAGTAGCAGGAGGTTGAAAACGCGTCAATACCGCATCTAACGTTCTAAAGAACACATCTTGATCAGTTACAGGCACTCCAGAAGGTGCATGTTCTTCACCTTGCCTGGACAGGACAGGTGAATTACTGCTTTCAGTGGGTCGATCATCTCCCGCTTCACTTCGAGAGTTATTATGTCCGGACATCTATTAAGAATAAACATATCATTCTATTAGCAAAACAACCTACTCATTACCATACCAAATCAGAAGTTTTCATTATTTTGTTGGCATGTATATATTATAAGACACTCTAGACTTCAATTTAAGCCTAGAATCAGCTAAATCGTAGCTCTGATACCATTAAATGTAACACCCCACCCCTTACCCGATCCGGATACGAGTCCGAGATGTCACATTAACTTTTAAAAATGATATTCTTACAAAATATCAAAACATTTGAACTCATATTAAGAAAACACGATAATATACTATTAAATTATGTTCGTTATAAAATTTTGAAGCAAAAACGTATATATAAACAGTAAAATGCGATATGAACAGTAACGTGAACAGTAATGAACAGTACCGTGAACAATGCCCTGCTACAATACCCAAATGTTAAAATTTTCCAGATTGTTAATAGGGAACCGATACCCTGCTACAGTACTACTACAGTACATCCGTAAAACATACATAAAACTCGTAAAAATTTACCCGTTCATTACTATACATTTACATTTACATAAATATGTTTAAAACATTAGAAAAATCGATCAGAGCGTTCATACTAAAACATTTCTTACATGCCAACATACTATATACAATCAAAATACATACTTTATCAGTTACTTCTGATCTGATCTTCTAACAGTGTTGTTGTTCTTGCCACTCCTATTTCTGTTATTCTTGGTTCTTGGTACTTACATGTAAATCACTTAAACGCTAGCGAGGCATAAACATAATAATGATGCATTTCTCATAAATATAAACATGCAATCTATGAATTCAATCATTTCACATATGATTTCAGTACTTATATTACTATCACTATATTCCTTTTTATCATATAAATATATATTGAACATTTTATACATACCTTGGAACACATATAACATTTCACAAAAGAACATACATAGTATCATATCAGTTGATTTATTTACTCTCTTTAAAGACCATGTATACTTTTAAGAACTTAAGGTATATGAGTACATTGAGGTTGTGCACTATTATGCTATCACCACAGCTCGTATAAATGTCCCGAAAGACCAGTCTATAGATTCTGAAGAACCTAGGTAAACAGTCTATATGTCCCGAAGAACATAGGTAAACAATCCATATGTCCCGAATAACATAGGTAAACAGTCCATATGTCCCTAAGAACATAGGTAAACCCTTGCCAACTATACCCCTAGCTCTCATATCACATAACATAGGCATCATCATTTATAACAATTCACATATTCACATCACTTATTCCTATCATTTCTTTTATAAACACACATCTCTTCTTTTCTGTCACGTATCACATGTACGTGTAATCATTGATCTTATAATCTCATATTTCTTTTCTTCAGTCACATACCACATGTATATGTAACATCTATCTCACATTATATAACATGTATCACTTAGCTTATTATCGCGTAACTCATGTTACATATTCTTATCACTTAATCTCTTATATTCACATATACATTCACATCACATATTCATATAAGCTAATGTATCTCATGGTTCTTTCTCATAGCTCACTATCACATTTCATATCATATATCCTATATCATCATGTGTTTCATTTATAACCATTCACAATTACACAAACATGTACTCACACATATCATTTAACATATGCAATAATCAATAACATTTTAGGAGTCACTTTTTACTATAGTAGCTCCGTCATTGGCTCATCGCAAGCCAATGTTTATTCAATAACATAAGTACAAATTAAATTTCACTCACCTTAGCCTTGCTTGCTTTGATTCAATCCTAATTCTTTGATTATTCCGGAACTCTTTTAGACTTTATATATACATAAATATAATTTTCAAAACAATTATCAGAAGCCTAAACCTTAAACTTTATGTTAATAGCTTAAGCTAGTTTAATGAACCAAAATTCCATTTTTTTCTTTAGGGGGAATCGGTACCCCCTGAGGGTATATGTTCCCCTTGCGTAATCTAGAATTTTTTGTTCAAGCCCAGAAATCACTGTTCATGCACGAAAATTCACTATATCAACTTAAATTCTTCATGTTTCATTCCCTTTCATAATCCTAACTCAAATATACATACTTAAACTAATTTATACTCATTTATCTCATCATAAACCTCAAAATCTTCTCCTCTTTATGAACTTCAATAATCATACCCAATTTTCAACATGTTTCAAATCCAATTCTAACACTTAATACTTCTTAATTAAGCTAATGACAAGTCAAATTTAACTTCAAATTCAACTTATCAACTCTATTTCAAGAACTCAAAATCTTTAATCTCTCATATATCTTTCATCTTGTTGCTTTAGAACAAATTAAGCTTTCCTTAAGCTTAATTATCATCTAATGATCATAACCCAACCTTAAATTCAATCAGAAATTAACTAAAAAAAAACTCACCTTTGATCTTGGAGATACGGGGGAACGAAGAATGAAGGAGTTTGTAGTCAAGAACTCAAATCTTTAATCTCTCATATATCTTTCATCTTGTTGCTTTAGAACAAATTAAGCTTTCCTTAAGCTTAATTATCATCTAATGATCATAACCCAACCTTAAATTCAATCAGAAATTAACTAAAAAAAACTCACCTTTGATCTTGGAGATACGGGAGGAAGAAGAAGAATGAAGAAGAGTTTGTAGATAATTCATCCCCCACCCCACGTGAATCATTCATATAAATGGGAAAAAATATCTTTCTTGCCAAATGACCATTTTGTCCTTTAATTCCTTTGATAATTACTAACAACTTTCTGGAAATATCTCCACATAAATTATTCAACTATTCTACTTGAATCACCAAATTCTGAAATTTTACAATTTGGTTACTAACCTGGTATTGAGGATGTTACAGGTACCATTCCTATCAAGTGTGACAATACTAGTGTTATATGTCTCACTAAAAATCCCATCCAACATTATATAACTAAGCACATAGAAATTAGACATTATTTCATTAGAGATCATGTCTCAAAAGAAGATATAGTTCTAAGGTATGTAGATACTTCGCATCAAGTAACTCATATTTTTTACAAAACCTTTAGACAAATAAAGATTTTGGGCACTTAGGAGAGAATTAGATCTAACCAACCTACCTTGACTTTGTGTTTAAATAATTTTTGCACTTTTATGGTTTTATGAAAAATGCATGCAAAATGACCTCTTTAATGCCTTATATGCTATTAATTAGGGAAAGTTTATGATTTTCATGAAAATTAATAATATGTTCAAATTATGCTTAAATGTATATTTGTTTGTTTGAACATACTTACTTTGTCCAATTAGAGTTGCCTACACCACTATTTATGCTTTAAAATATGTATCCTATTTGTTTTTGTTGCATTTTTGAACTATTCTGTGCAATTAGTATTGATACTATTCATTCAGTACCGATATGCATACTATTTGTATTGTTGTTGGAGAAAATGATTGTCAATTGATGATATGCATCGTAATAAATTGAGGACGACTCGTAATATATCCGATCGTATTATTATGTTGTTCTAGCCATAGTAGTTAGGTGATCAGAAGAAGTTTGAGATGAAAATGGTAGGTTAAATTGGTTATTACACATAATACAAGGACGAATACATGAATTTTACCCTCGAGTATTTTTTTCATCCTTCGACTTCTTTAAAAGCAAAGGGTAAGAGCTAATCGTAAGTTGATAACAAAAATCCCTCGAGTAACAAAAGACTGCAACCAGAACCTTCTAGAACCCAAGTTGTGAGAGCAAAAAGGAGCATCGCGTGCGGCGGCGGCGATGGCGTCTGGAGTTGGTGGTGGTGGTGGCGGCGGAAGTGTGGAGTGGCACGTCAGGCCACTGAATCCCAAAAACCCAATCGTGTTTTTCGATATAACCATCGGTTCTATCCCCGCCGGCCGTATCAAAATGGAACTCTTCGCTGATATTGCCCCAAAAACCGCCGAAAATTTCAGGTATTTCTACTTCCTTCTCTTGTCCTTTGTTTACGGTTATTTTATTTTCTGTTTAACGTTTGAATTTTTTACCCATTTGCAGGCAGCTATGCACTGGGGAGTACAGGTTTTTCTTCTTCTTTTTTTTATTTTTTAAACTTCAATTATCTGAATCTTCATGAGTAATTGCTACTTACCCAGTTTATTAATTGGATTGAATATCAGGAAAGCAGGGTTGCCTGTTGGTTACAAGGGTTGCCAATTTCATAGGGTTATTAAAGATTTTATGATTCAAGCTGGAGATTTTCTCAAGGTTGGTAGTTTATTGTTATATGAGCTTTCATTTTACATTTACAATCTTAGCTAATCTGCTACTGCTCAGTCATATTAATCTTGAGTACGCAGAATCTGGGATATAAATTGCGGTTGCCATCGCGATTTCGGTTGCATTGTGATTTGTGATTATCGTGATTGCGAACATAACTGGTGCTATTGCGATAATTGCTGGTATTGCAGTCATGCAATAATGGTTTCAGACGGTGCCAAAACCGTTATATAACGGCTGCTATTCCGGACCGCTATTTAAATCCCTGCCCAGAATCAGCTTCTTGAGTGTCTTGTAGACTATGAATTTTTCATTTGTCCCGGAATATCAATCTTGAGCATATCGTTGAAGTTGTTGTTTTGCTGTTGTTATGTTCTTCATTGAATGCCCCTAGCTTGAATGTATGAGTCAATATTCGTATTAAGGATAGTTTTTGCCTCGAAAATGGAGGGTGGTGCTTGCCAAAGGAACGATATTTCAGTAACTTAGATGATTGTTTTGATTTGTTAACTTTAAACTATGCGCAACAGAATACGGGTTTTTAAATAACATAAAGTTATTTGTGATTGATTTGGTCTGATCCGATGTATAATAGTTACATTAAAATCTCTCCTTGCAGGGTGATGGTAGCGGATGCACTTCCATTTACGGTCATAAGTTTGAAGATGAGAATTTCATTGCCAAACACACCGGTCCTGGCCTGCTATCAATGGTATGCTGCTGCTTATGTAATCTTGAGTGACAATGTATCATATATAATTATCTAATTTTGAAAGTGTCATACTTATTACTCGAAGTCTTTTTTCTTTCTTGAAGTAACCGTGTCTGACACTAGTGTTCTATGCATATTTATGTCACACTCGTGTTCTATGCATATTTAGGCATGACTATAGTGATATGATCTTCCAAGTACTTGAAAAAGCTTACAAAAAAAATTGAACATACACATGTTTCACACTCACGGTTGAGCCCGAGTAACATAGTTTTGCATGGAAGGGACAGAGAGATATAAAAAGACTAGTAGAGGTAATAGGATATGAAAAAGTTAAAGTGAATTTTTTTTTTATAGAAGTTGGAGGTCTCATTAAAAACTCCCTTCGTATTCGTTCACATACTAAGAAGTATGTTAACGAACATTGGAAGGAAGAAAAGAGTACCTCAAAGTTTATTAATAATAATACCCAATACAAAAGATAACACGGAATATCCTCCTATGGTAATATTCACCATTACAACAAACACCTTAAGCTCATAAAACCTCATCCAAAGTCACAATCGAATCACCTTATTTCTAAATACACCTCCAACAATAGAATTAAAACAACGCAACAGAACATAATACAAAAGGGACGCAACACCTGCAACCATATAAACTAAATCAAAACACAATTAGAGAGACAAGATCTAATGAGATTCGTCTTCTTCAGGAGTCCAAGAGTTTGGCTTGAATGAAGGCTCTATCTCATGCACCATGATCTCTTGAAGGAGTTGTCACCAACCTTCAATTCCAACGTCGCATCAATTCTCGCACCAGCCTTTGCGAGGACTTGAATTTTTGCCCGATCAAAGGATAATGGTGACTGACAGCTTTCATCGATTGCTAGTAACTGACCCCAACAATCAGCAATGTTCTTGAAAGTATCCCAATTCCATACGTGAAACGGAACACCCTTGCAAACTAACCATACTCGACGACACTCCATTACCAAACTCTCTGACCAAGCTTCGACTATGGAGAACCACTCTGCGAGAGTCTTTGATTTATCGTTCTCAACACTTCTCAATGAAGCAGAGTCTTCGAAAATCATTGATATTGCATTACCAGCAGCTCTCATTAAGGAGAAGCCAGTGAGGCCCATTGCATGCATTTTTCTAGCGAGATGACCGATTTTGATAAATTCTTTGCACCATCCCACTAGACAATTGCTCAACCCCTGAAGTTAAAGTGAAATTTTACTAAAGTTGTTTATGTTTTTTTGCCTTTTACGTTGCAGGCAAACAGTGGACCAAACACCAATGGTTGTCAGGTGACTTACTCGATTTCTCTTTCTTGCTTGAATATGCACAAAAACACACACGCACGTATGCAATCCGATGCATGTAAAAAAAAACACTGATTCCATTCATGCACACAAAATGAGTAATGATCAAGTGCCTCCTCCATTAAAGGCTAGATTGTAGAATGTTATGTATTCCCAGCTAGGTGAATGGGGGATTCGATGGAGAAATATTGCTATCGCAAAATCTTCGAGCATGTCTATTTTTTAGAATAACTATTTAAAAAAATCTTGGTAAATCATCTTGTTTACTGTTACAAAGCCTTTTGTATATTGATTTCGCTGTTTATTGGCTGCAGTTCTTTATATCGTGTGCGAAATGTGAGTGGCTTGATAATAAGCATGTCGTATTCGGGGTATGTTCTCTAGCCTTTTAGTTCAGAATGCATCCGCATTACGCTAATTTTTGAAGATGAATAATTTCTTGAAATGACGATGAATGTTTCGTCTGTGATCATGTAGAGGGTGCTTGGAGATAGTCTTCTTGTGGTTCGGAAGATCGAGAATGTGGCTACGGGACCAAACAACAGGCCGAAACTACCATGCATTATTGCCGAGTGTGGCGAAATGTAAAACTCGATATTCGTTTAGCGCATCTGCTGAAAGCTAACCACAAATGAGATTGCTGTAAACATTTTAGTATTTATTCACTCCTAAGATGATGGTTTTTGATTATCAAGATGTTGACAATGTTTGCATTATTGGTTAAGGGTGTTGGACTTTCGTTAAAGCGTGATTTGTATGGTTTGGAGATTATGTGAAAACCTAATAATATTTGAATGGGTAAATTATAAATTTTACCATTCATATTTCTTCTTACTTTTATTTTGGTCACTGAAGTATAATTTTTTTTCAGTTTAATCACTCAATTATTTTGAATTCTTTTATCTTCTTTATAAATGATAAAAGGTAGGATGCAATGATTAATATATTAATATGATTTGGGTTGTTTTGATAATATTATGTGCCACGAAATTTTTCTAGGTAAAAATGTATCGTTGAACTTGTTGAAAAAAATTAACGTGGTGCTCATATTATATTTTCCTTTACTGTGGTTTTCTAATTCAGAAAATAAGTTTAATGTACTTCTCTGACCAACGCTTTTTGTTGTTTGATTGTTATGGTGCAAACATGACGGTACACAATACCGACATGACAGTCTATTTGTTATGTTTAAGTTATCAATTTTGCTCATCTGTCATGTTATTCGTCGCGTTATCAACCAATGTGGATTGTCACGTCAACATTGTAGATTGTCATGTCAGTACCGTGAACTGCCACATGGTGTTGACTACCATGTCAGTACCGTAAACTGTCACATCAACACTATAACAATCAACGATGAAAAAAGTTGGTCACAGGGTCACATTGAGCTTATTTTCTGAGTTGGAGGGCCACTTTTATAGAAAAATTAATACGTTGATCACATTAATTTTTTAAAAAGTATAAGGATCTCTAATACCTTTTTACCTTTTTAAAAAATAATCTAAATCTAATCTATACCTATGACTACTTAATTATTGTTCCTTTTTATTTTGACCATTGATATTTTGATTTTTATTAATCAAATCACATAACTATTTAAATAATGTAATTAAGTCATATATTGTTAAAATATAAAGGAAATGGCGACGATGTAATTAATAGAATTGATATAATTATACATTTAATCTTTAATCTTTATATATTTTATTAATTTGATTTAAATTTAATTTTAATTCAAAAATATCAATAAAAATCTCATTGTCACAATCCCAAAACCCTCATTAAAAAGGATTTGTAATTTCTCCATTAAAATTTTGAATTCTGATCAATTTGTTAACCAAAGCCAAACCATTTATGGTGACAACACCAAAATATTTTTAGCTTCAATCCTGACAATGGGAGATTTAAAGTGGGTTTGTGTTACTATAATTTATTTCATTTACATATATACACTAATCCTTCAAAAATCATTGTTGCCTTGTAATCACAATCCTCTTTTAAAAGAACTTTAATATTTCAAAATGATTCTTATTTTGTATACATTTTGATTATTTATTATGTATGTATTTGATTCAAGTTTTATTTTTAATGCGTTATATTATTTTATTTTTATGATTAGTTTTCATAAAATGTTTTCTATATTATATTTTTTAAAGTTTTTTATTAATTTTTTTCAAATAATTTGATATGATATTTTGTTGTACAACTTATTCATGTAGCGTGAATGAAATAAAATAGTGTAACAATTAACGCATACTTACATCGGTGTAAGTATGTACATCTCCCAATATCTCCATACCTAAGAATTAACACATACTTACATCGGTGTAAGTATGTACATCTCCCAATATCTCGATATCTAAGTTAAACACATATTATATTTGTGTAAATATATTTATGTATTTTAAAAGAAATAATATATATATATATATATATATATATTAAGTTATTCGTGTATAAATTTTATGTAAAAATATTCAAATTAAAAATAAAAGGCAATCAATAAAAGGATCTAAAAAACTTGAAATTTAGAGGAAAAAAAGCAAATCACTTGACGCAATATATTAAAATAGTGACAAGGAAGCTGATCTAGTCCTCTAGGATGATTTATAAGATAATATCTGCTTAACCTTTTTTAGTTCACTAACAATATAACCTTGTAAATATAATTGCTCGAACTCGAGTCTCTTAGAAAGAATAACATTGTTTTTACATTAAGATCACTTAATGAGTTCACAGTAAAATACTATTAAATTCACATATTTTAAGTATTTTCGGTTAATTACATTTGCCCTCGGGAGGATGAAACAAGTTTAGTACAATGCAGCTGACAATGACATACGACAACCGAAACAGTGGATGAAGTGATAATCAGAATATAAGTAGGTTCACGTTGTTTAATATAATTTTCATTTTTTATGAGTTAAAACGTCACCGCTTTGATGTGTCATCGCTCTTTTTGTAAAGTATTAAAGAATTTTTATAGATATTAAAATTTGATTATTAATTGATTAATGTAAATGAAGTTTTAAATTATTTTAATCTACTAATAATGCTTGACAAGTTATTTAGTCTAGTCCTATTCCATGAAATCAATTGGTAGTTAAAAGAATATATGCTAAACTAAAATAAATAAATTTATAAACTATTTATGTAATACAAACTTTATAAATTTGAGTTGAATCTGGACCGGGTTTAGAGTTTGAACTGAAAATCTTGACTCGAGCCCAACTCGAAAACCGCAGTTCCATCTGCTGTAACAAACGACAGCGTTTTGGTCCCCATAGGCTTCACATTGATTAAAGGTGCCAAAGTTCATTTCCTTCCCATTTTGCCTCTCTCCCTGACTCAGAGTTACTGAACGAACTCGAGCTCGAACTCAGATTACCTAGATGGCGTTCGCATTGAGGAGTGTGAAAGTACCACCGAACTCAGCGAGTTTGGAAGAAGCAAGGGGCCGAGTCTTCGATTTCTTCAGAAAAGCTTGTCGATCGATCCCTACTATTATGGATATCTATAACCTAGACGACGTCGTTAGCAAATCTCAGCTCCGTTCCACCATCGCCTCTGAAATCCGTAAGAACACCCATGTTACCAATCCCAAGGTTCGCTTCCCACTCTCTCCATTTTATATCCTTTTACTTATTTGTTTTTTATCTTTTAATTTTTGGGAATTTTGTATTTTTATCATTTTGAAGTGTGGAGGATATAATTAAAATTTTTTAAGTATGGTTATCTATAATTTTTTAGGTTTATAGCAATTTGAATGAAGGGAAAAAGAAAATAATGAAAAATTAAGATAATCCAAGACTGGTGATTATCCTATTGAAAACCGAATTTAAGCTTAGCTTAGTTGATGTGGGATTGTGAGGGGAAAAGTTGGGATATTTCTATTTTTAATTGAACTGGAGATTTATGTTTTGATTTTGTGATATCCTTGTATTTAATGGGAATGCTAAATTTTGCTGTAGAATTATTATTATTTTTTCATGTTTTTCTCCATTGTAAATAGTAGATTATGAAGGTTTTTTCGTTAAAAAGATAATGGATTTTGTTTAAACATTTGTTTGGATTAATCTGGGATATCTATAGCTTTTTGAATGATTGTTTCTGTATTTCCTGTTTCGACCTACGAGTGCTTCGTCAATGATTTCTCTGGGATTTGGTTCATCTTATGATTTACTCTTGCATGACCTGTATGCGGCTCTTGATTTTTTTTCTCTTGAATGAAACAACTTAATTTTCTGAAAGCCAGTTGATATAATCTTCCCATAAGATGTTTTGAGTTTGATGTCCTTTGAATGGTATAAAAGAAGCCTTTGTTTGCTCAAACCTCATTTTTCATGAAGTATCCGTATCCAATGCTTTGATATGCGAGATATGACCTCAAAAATCCTTCAAATATGCGGAAAAAAACTTAGAAAAATGTAACCATACCCGTGCATGATACATACCCATGTCCAACACTTACACTTGAGTCTGAGTAAAGCTAAGTTCAAGCCTCTTGTTTTTTCATATTCAATAACTCTTTTACTTTAGCCAGATGATACTGTGGCTGTTGATGATAAAGGGAGATTATTTTGCAGATCAAAATGATCATGTGTATTGATGGGGAAAGCTGATGACATAGTTGATGCTATTAGAGTTCTACATTTTCTAACTTTTTCATGTCTCCATACCCTTGTCTTAATATGCGTTGAACATGGAATTGGACACGAGCACTTTAGAAAAATGAATTGTCAGATTCTATGTTTCCTATAGGAAAGTTTCCTTTTATCCGTGTGTTCAAGTCTTCAACATATGTTTTAGTTGCACTAATCATGTGTGCAGCAATTCTAAGTTATGTTTACTCCGAAAATGAATTGTTTAATATCTGATTAGCTACCTAACGTCACGATTTAATGGCTTCAGCATACATTAGGAACTGCATCTTATAGGAGGTAGTGCCTTACCAAATTGATTATAGAAGAGCCTCATTGGTGTATATTCGTTTTCCCTGAAACACTCTTTACAATACTCAATGCATTCTCTCTTGTGCTGCCTTGTTGGTAGTTGATATCAAACTTGTACTCATTTGGCATAGCTGCTTCGTTCCTGATGATAATTCAATTCGCAATATGGGTTTGTTTATTCGATACATCAGTGTATGGTTTTTAATATTTTCTGCTTACGAACGAGTTTGTATAGGCACTTGAAGTATGGAAAGGATTCTTGAATTTTACACTGCAAATATTTGGCTGCCTGTGATTTTTGGAAACACTGTCTTCCAGTGTCTTGATAGTGAGAAATCTGCAGGTAATTGATTTGCTGCTGTTCAAGGGTATAGAAGAGCTGAACAACATCGTCGAACATGCAAAACAACGGCACCACATTATTGGGCAGTATGTGCTAGGTCGTCAAGGACTTGCTCAGGATTTGGACACCAAGGATGAAGGCACGTCGGATTTCCTCAAGAATTTCTATAAAAGCAACTACTTTTAAACATTATGTTTTCATGGACAGCTCGTAGGCTATCCAGTCTTTTGACTTCCTTGATAATAAATGTTCCGATCCTAACCTTTCAATTCGGTACATTCGACCGATTTTGTTCATGTTGGTTTTCATTAATGCGCGGAAATGCAAGCTTGAATTCTGGTGAATTGCTGATTAGAGCAGTGTATAAATACTTCTTGATAATCAAATGAAACT